GGCTTTGCGAAGGGCTCTCGGAAGCGTGTGGGTTAAATTTTGCACTACAAATCGCAGAATCCCCAGGGACAACCTGGCCTCTACCTGTGCTGGAGAAAAACCTATTTGGCACCAAAAGAGATTTTTTTAAAAAAAAAATAGAGAGATTTCTGGAAAACGGTCGTGACTATTTTCTGTCCCACCCATGGGAGCAGCTTGCATTCATTTGTTTGTTTAAGATACTTTTATCTCGCCTTCCTCCTTAAAAAGAATCCAAGGCGGCCTACAGCATTAAAATGCAATACATAGAAGCTAGAAACAGTAGTGCAAATATTAAAAAAATAATTTATCAAGTATTACATTAAAAACAGTAATAAAACCAATACTTCAGGCCAAGGACTTTTTAAAGTGTCCAGCTGGATTCGTCTGTTGCAGCAGAAGAAATAGCCTGGAAGCACATATTTTTTTAAAAAATCCCTATGCTGGCCGAGGGATTCTGGATATTGTAGTCCATCATGCAACTTGTCTATTTTATGGTGCTTTCACTGGGCTTCAGTCCTGAACAATTAAATGCCACGCGAAATTCATTCACTTATTTGAGTTCTGCCTTGTCCTTCTGCAGAGGGATCCCAACGAAGTCTGTGAGCCGTTCAATGCAAAGGTCGGCTAAGCACCACAAAGGGAGGGGGGGATCCTATATGCGCGGGTGTTCCTTCTGTGCGTAACATGCTCGGCGACCCTCATGTTTCCTCAACCCGCACTCCTCTGCTCAACTTTCCCGGCCAAGTTGGATCGAGTCCCTTCAGGGCCATTTCTAGCCCCCGCCCGCCCCCTCGGACTTCTCTCCTTTCGCACCCTTCCCACAAGGCTGTAAAGACAGACTCTCTTTTTAATAAATATAATTCACGTTCCAGGTATCCTTTTATGCAAAGCCATCGGGAAGCCCACCTTCGGGGCTCCTGAAAGGAAGCCACAACCCGGAGTTTGCAACCACCAGGCCATTTCGGAGGCCGCGCCTTCTGCATCAAGTCATCCTTGGGATGCTAAACCATCTTCTTCAAGTTGTGCCAAACTTAGGGGCTGCTTCTAAGGTCCCAAATCCACGCGGCT